CCAAACCATATTGAACAATTCGTGAACCACCCATTTCTCCCAACCATCCTGTGGTTCCTCGTATTGAAGAGACAGCGCCCCGCGTCACTCCTCCTCCTCCCGCTGCCCCCTCCTCCCTCTCTCCTCCCGCTGCCCCCCCCTCACTTTGGCACACCCCTCACACGTTTCGTGGTCCCATAGGGAGCTCCACCGAAGGCCCCAGTGGCAGGGTCCGCATGCGGATCCCCGCCCATTTCGGCAGACCCCTCGCACGTTTCGTGGCTCCATAGGGAGATCTACCGAAGGCCCCAGTGGCAGGGTCCGCATGCGGTTCCCCGCCCATTTCGGCACACCCCTCACACGGTTCGTGGCTCCATAGGGAGCTCCACCGAAAACCCTAGTGGCAGGGTCCGCATGCGGTTCCCCGCCCATTTCGGCACACCCCTCACACGTTTCGTGGCTCCACAAGGAGCTCCACCGAAGGCCCTAGTGGCAGGGTCCGCATGCGGTTCCCCGCCCATTTCGGCACACCCCTCACACGTTTCGTGGCTCCATAGGGAGATCTACCGAAGGCCCCAGTGGCAGGGTCCGCATGCGGTTCCCCGCCCATTTCGGCACACCCCTCACACGGTTCGTGGCTCCATAGGGAGCTCCACCGAAAACCCTAGTGGCAGGGTTCGCATGCGGTTCCCCGCCCATTTCGGCACACCCCTCACACGTTTCGTGGCTCCATAGGGAGATCTACCGAAGGCCCCAGTGGCAGGGTCCGCATGCGGTTCCCCGCCCATTTCGGCACACCCCTCACACGGTTCGTGGCTCCATAGGGAGCTCCACCGAAAACCCTAGTGGCAGGGTTCGCATGCGGTTCCCCGCCCATTTCGGCACACCCCTCACACGGTTCGTGGGCCCATGGGGAGGGTCGCCGAACGATGGACCCAGAACGCGGTATCCACACATGCATTGGACGGGTCCTTCGTCAGGCTAAGTTTTGCCTCTCGGGGCCCTCTTGGAGAGGCTCTTGGGGCAATCCTTGGACGCCTCGACGGTTTCAAGCGATCTTGGGCCGTCTTGAGGCCAAAGTTCCTTGTCTAGGAGCGATCTCGGGCCGCCTTGGGGACATCTGGGCCTCGGGAGTGCCAATCTGTTGTATTTTGCGAGGAGTTGTGGCTCGGGCAGAGGGCGGGGGTGGTGCACGCAGGTGGGTGCTTCCTGAGGGAAGGGGTTGCCTTCAGAAAATTACAGCAGCCCTACCATACAGCCCGGTGCTTTGAAGGTCGCACGACGCGCGGAATTGGGAGTAGAGCAGTCTTTGTGTAGCATGGTTAAGACATGCGGCAGATGTTTCGGCCCAGCCCGCAGGCGGGAGCGGCTGGATTTCCGAGGATATCCACAATTTTAGAGCCCACGTCTTCGCGAACGCATCGCGCCTGACCCGCTATTTCAATCTGTCTGAGTTGAGCTCCGTGCCAACACGCTGCGTTTTGTGTGCTGCGTGTTGGGGCAGCTGGGGGGCCTTGCCGAAGTGCACCTGTCGTGGCACGCCCCCGGCCATGACTTTTTGTTGCCGTGTGCCTGCCCCGTGCAAGGCGGATCATGACTTTTCGATGCCGTGTGCCTGCCCCGTGCAAGGCGCGCCCGAGCCAGCCAATCCCTGGCGCACGCTTTCCTCGGCTTGTGTGGTCTGGAACTTCCAGCTCGAGCAGTCAATTTCCAGGAGGGGAAAAAACACACAGACACAATTAATCGTCGATTCCCCGGAAAATATGGGAAAATCTTGGAAGTGGGCGGGAAGCCGAAAACCCAGAAAATATTTGAAAATAGGGGGAACCCTGTTTTTTTTTTTTTTTGTGTGTGTGTGTGTGTGTGTGTGTGTGTGTGTGTGTGTCCCAGGGCCCCTTCAAATTTGTGCCCATCGCAGTGCGTGCCAGCGGGCATTCACCAGGAGGGGAACAAAAACACACAGACACAATTAGTCGTCGATCCCCCGGAGAATCTGGGAAACTGTGGGAAGTGGGGGGGGGGGGCAAGACGAACGCCAAGAAGATATGGGGAAATACGGGGAATCCTGTCATTTGTGTGCATTTCTTTGCGTGCCCCAGGGCCCCTTCGATTCACACCGAGGCGGAATAGACAGCACAAGCATGCGCCTGCGGCGCTGCGCGCGGACTTCCTGGAGGCGTGCCCGGCCGCCCGGGCGGCGCCCCCAGCGCGGGCCCCGGCGAGCTCCGCGCTCTGGGGAGGGGGGCCCAGGGCGGATCCGAGACATCCGCGCGGGTCTCCAACAGGTCTCGGGCCGGGCGAAAGGGGGGGATTGGGAAAAGGGGGGGTACGAAATTTGCTGCATGCAGCTGGTTTCGGCCTCACCGAGGGGCCCATTCCTCGATACATGGCCGCCTCCGGCGCCGGGAGGCGCCGGGAGAATCAGCTGCGTGAGCTGATTCTCAAACCCCCCCTTTGCTAACCCCCCCTTTCGCCCGACCCGAAGTTTGTGCTTGTGCCCCTTGTTTGTTCCTCCAGGGTCTGCCATCCCTAGGCTCCGCCTGGTGCTATTTTTTCTATCTGCGCGCCCCGCTTTGCGGCTGAGTCTCGGCGCGCCCTCTTCAAAATGGGCAGGAGCTGCCGTCGGTCGGTCCTCGTCCCCCTCTCTTTCCGCACCCAATTCGATCGCCGGAGGGGGGGGGGGGAACGTCCTCGGTGAACCAAGAAACCCGCTCCACATCGCCCCCCAGACCCCTCTCCGGCTCTGTCCTGGCACGTGTTTTAAAGTGGCTCCAGCCGTGGCGTCGAGAAGCCTCAGGGAGGCCGAAGAACGAAACGACCGAGGAGGCTGACTCAGAAGGCTGCCGTTGTTTCGACTGGTCCATCCTCTGAAAGAGGTGCCATCTGCTGGGTAGTCGAAGGCCAGACTGTCAGATTGGATTATTGGGCCCCACGGGCCAATCTGGCCCGGCCAAACTGGATGATTTGGGTTATTCGCCAGACTGGGTTCGCGCTGGCTCCCTCGCCAGATTGCCCCCGTTTGCCAGATTGGGCCTGCCAGATTGGCGCCAGATTGGCTTCGACTACCCAGCCTGTTTCAAGCACTCTCGCGGAATCGTCGTGTTCATCCCCTTCATAGTCATTGGCTGACGCCGCACCGCCGACTCCTTGGGGCGGCAGTACAAGAGCGAAGCGTGGATTTTGAGGAGAACGCGCGCGATTTCTTGGGATGCTTGGGGTTTCAGTTTCTTGGGATTTCGTCGGGGGCGGTTGGCGGATCGCGGCTCTACTCTTGGGCTTCTCTGGGCTCTCTTGGCAGCACTTTTGAAGCCTCTTGGGAGCCGTGTTGAGGCCTCTAGGGGCCTCGTTTGGGCCTCTCGTGGGAGCTTCTTTGGGGCCTCTTGGCGCCTCCTCAGGTTTGTTCGGGACGAGTACTCGAAATGTCCACTCGGGTTCCCCCTCTGGGCCTCCTCTTGGGACTGTCCTGGGGTCCTCCTGGGCCGTTTTGGAGGCTTCCATGGCCGTCTTGGGGCCCTCTTGGGCCGTCGTGGATTCCTCCTCTTGGGGGCCTCTTGGGCTATCTTGTGTCAATCTTGGATGCTTCTTGGGCCGTTGTGGGCCTCGTGAAAACCCAAGAGGCGAATGTGCGAAGCATATACGTTTTCCCTAGGGAGTGGGTCGATTTCTGTTTCTGGAGGGCCTCTTGGGACGCCTCTTGGTGGCTTCTTGGGGCGTCTTGAGGGCCTCTGGGGCCGTCTGGAGGCAATCTTGGGCGTCTTGGAGCGATTGGACAATCCGGTGGGCCTCTTGGGGCCCTCTTGGCCCGTTCTGGGGCCCTTTGAGGCTCCGAGGGTGCGGCCGACAGTTTTGCCCCTCCCCCCCCTTTCAAACGGGCTGGACTGGGCTCCCGGGGGAGGGGTTTTGGGAGGGGGGAAAGCATCTCACAGGCCGTGACCCCAAGTGGTCGGCGGATTCCCCCCCGTCCCTTGCTGGGCGGGTTGGCCGCCGCCGCGCGCCCGCAGGGGGCAGGGGTGCCAGGGAGAGCTTGGGGTTCGCGCCTTTTCCCGCTGGGGGGGTGGGGTTGCGGATCCGGGGGTGGGGTGCAAACGCATGGTGCGGTCGCCAGGGGGCGGGTTGGCCACGCCGCGTCCTCACGTTCG